TCCAGAGCTGGGCGGTACTGCCTTTTCTGACGGGCACCTGCTCAGATATCTGGTTTCTCAGAGAGCAGTGGTATTTGAAGACTGATTTAGAAAAACAGAGGGTTTGGGAAACCTGGGGTTAGATGGAAGGAAGGCAACTACCTCTAAAAATGAAACAAAGGCCTGGTGCGGTCATGCCTGGAATCCCAGCACTTTGGGAGGCCAAGGTAGGAGGATCACTTAAGCCCAGGAGTTCTAGACCAGCCTGGGCAACACAGCAAGACCTCCTCTCTACAGAAAAAAATACAAAAATTAGCCAGGCATGGTGGTACACACCTATAGTCCCAGCTACTCAGGAGGCTGAGGCAGAAGAATTGCCTGAGCCCAGGAAGTCAGGGTTGTGGTGAGCCACGATCATGCCACTGCACTCTAGCCTGGGTGATCAAGTGAGACCCCGACTCAAAAACAAACAAACAAACAACAAACAAAAACGGAATCTGCAAGGCTTGACTATGTGCCAAACACTGCAAGGCACTTGTGAGCTTGTGGATCATAGAATGCTACCAGCCACCCCAGGAGGTAGGGGCTGTTATCATCATCTCCATTCTATAGACGAGGAAACTGAGACCCAGAGAAAGGATCTTGCCACTTGCCTGTCCACCAGGACTGAGAAGTTGCTGCCCCTTTCTAGGGGGAGAGCAATATCCAACTATTCATACATACAGTATGTACAGCAACCTCTGAGGCAGATGCTACTACAGTAGTCTTCCCTTGCCCTTTGGGGATATGTTACAAGACCCCCAGTGGAGGTCTGAAACAGTGTAGTATCGAACCGTATATGGACAATGTTTTTTTCGATTTGATAACCAAGATGCCTATCAAGTGACCAGTAGAGATAGTGTATACACTGTGGACACACCAGACAAAGGATGATTCATAGCCCAGGCTGTACGGAACAGGATGGTGTAAGATTTCATTGCGCTACTTAGCATGGAACTTAAAACTTATGAATTGCTTATTTCTGGAATTTTCCACGTAATATTTTCAGACAAGGCTGGGTGTTGTGGCTCACGCCCGTAACCTCAGCACTTTGGAAGGTAGAGGTGAGAGGATTGCCTGAGTCCAGGGGTTCAAGACCAGCCTGGGCAACTTGATGAGACCTCATCTCTACAATAAATCAAAAAATTTGCTGGGCGTGGTGGCACATGCTTGTGGTTCCAGCTACTTGGAAGGTTGAGGAGGAAGGATCATCTGAGCCCAGCAGGTCAAGGCTGTGGGTGGCCGTGAGCGTGCCACTGCACTCCAGCCTGGTCAACAGAGTGAGACTCCTACTCAAAAAAAAAATATATATATATATATTTTCAGAAAGTTGACTAAGGGTGACTGAAACTGAGGAAAGCAAAACCGCAAATCAGAGGGACTGACTGTACTATTCTCACTTTGTATATGAGGAAGCAGAGCCAGAGAGGTTAAGACATCTGCCCAAGGCTGTACAGCCAGTAAGTAGCAGTCAGGATTTGAACTCAGGCAGCCTGGCCCCAGGGTTCCTGGTGTCAGTCAGCCAGCTCTGCTGCCTGTCAGGGAAGGGATCTTGGCCAGGGCCTGCTCCTCTGCCTGACTTCCCATCTCTCCCCCTGCAGGTGGTGGGCAGCTCCCTCCTCTTTGTGCATGACCACACTGGCCTGGCCAAGGTCTGGATGATCGACTTCGGCAAGACGGTGGCCCTGCCTGACCACCACACACTCAGCCACAGGTTGCCCTGGGTCGAGGGCAACCGTGAGGATGGTTACCTCTGGGGCCTGGACAACATGATCCGCCTCCTTCAGGGGCTGGCTCAGAGCTGACCCACTCAGCCCCTACCAGGTTCATTTATTGAATGGTGCCGGTCTGGCTGGAGGAGATGCCATGGCGGAGATGAGAGTTTGTGTTGCACGCCACAGAAGACCAACGTGGAAAGGTCTGCAGGCCCTTGGGAGACCAGGTGCCACCTGGCCCCTTCATGATACGGGACCGTAAGGACCCCTGAGGGAGCATGACGAGGCCCATCCAGTGGGTCAGCAGAGCCAGAACAGGGTTCCCTGACCAGACAGGAAGGTCTCTGAGGGGCTACTGGAGGCCACAGCTACACCATGCCACCCTTAGATGTCACAAGATGTGGCATGACACGGTATCTATGGCCGTATGACTTGTAACCTGCTTCCTTCTCAGCCCCCTCCCAGCTGCAAGCTGGCTCTCTGAGGCCAGAGTCAGATTCATCTTTGGTGCTTCAAGGATCAGACATCATTTGTGAACACACACAGAAGCCGCCTGACCACCTGGGAAGAGTGACAGAGAGGTGCTTGCAAAGAACAGCACCTACCTCTTCCCTGAGCCGAAGCTCCATCTCTGTCTTCATCTGGGAGTCATTCGAGTGCTGATGCCACTGGGTGGGGCACACTTCACTGTTGTTCTGAGTGGCCTGTGGGATTCTCCCTACTCCTAGGAAGACTGCTGACCTCTGGCAGACCCAGGCCACAGCCATGTCCCAGCCTCTGCACCAGCACCGTGACAGTTCTCCTTCACTCTCAGTGCACCAGATCCAGCCTCAGGACCCTCCTTATGCCCAAACCCCAGCTTCTTCCTCCTGGCAAACTGCAGTGGCAGAAAGGAGGTTCAGAAGCAGGGAAAGCAGGCTTCCTCCGCATGACCTAGCCTCCTTGCGCTGGAGGGCCCTGGAGTGAAGCGTGCTGGGCCGCAGCCAGATGCGCAGAGTGGGTGCGACTGCGTGAGCCCGGCCCAAACCAGATTCCAGAAGCTGAGGTGTGGGGACTGGTCCCCCACCCCCTCCTTCAGCACCCATAGCTTGGGCTTCCTGGCCACGAGGGTGGGCTTGCAGAGAACAGCACCTACCTCTTCCATGAGTCGAAGCTCCAACACTGTCTTCCAGGACTGAGAAGTCCTCCTTTTCTACTGCCCATCTTTATACTTATTTATACACGAGGTAGTTGTTAGCCAGGGTAGTGTGGGGGAAGCAGAAGGCAAATGGCTCTGCTGTGTCTCCCGCCCGTGAAAACACCCCAATAAATGGGACAAAGACAGCTGTGCTTCTTTTGCATCTGTATTGTGTGGGCTCAGGTTCAGTCTGAGTCAGTGCTGGGAGGGGTAACAGGATAAGATCAGTGCAGGGAAGAGGTGGGCTCACAGCTGGCTGGTCTATTCATTCAGCACCAGTGACTCTTGTGATGGACAACGCAGGGAACACAGTGATGATCTTGGCAGCTCCAAGCCTTGCCCTCAGGGGTTCCCAGGACAGTGTCACCAAAGTATCAGGGTTGGGAAAGGGGACATGCCTCTTTTTTGCCTTGTTCACTGGTTACAGACACTACACCGGCCAGGCCTAGTGGTCATGCCTGTAATCTCAGCTACCCAGGAGGCTAAGTGGGGTAGATTGCCTGAGGTGGTATGAGACCTTTTTCAGAGTGGAGGTGATAGGAATTCATTAAACTAATAATCACAAATGCTTTCTATATATGCTGGGAGTGCCAAATATATATATATATATATACACGTTTTTTCTGAGTCAGAGTCTCACCCTGCCATCCAGGCTGGAGTGCAGTGGCATGCTCATGGATACCACAGCCTTGACCTGCTGGGCTCAGGCATTCCTTCCACCTCAGCCTTCCAAATAGCTGGAACCACAAGCACATGTCACCACACCCAGCTAATTTTTTTATTTATTGTAGAAACGAGGTCTCGCCAAGTTGCCCAGGCTGGTCTTGAACCTCTGGGACTCAGGCAATCCTCTCGCCTCGGCCTCCCAAAGTGCTGGGATTATAGGCTTGAGCCACTCGCCCAGCCAAAAGTATATACATTTTGAGATGTTCACTATAATCAAGTGTCTGGATGCTGACGGAAACCACTCTGAGCACCTCTTGTAATTGCAGAAGTTAAATGTGACTTGCAGTCATCTTTTTTGAGTCCGAGTCTCACTCTGTCACCCAGGCTGGAGTAGAGTGGCATGCTCATGGCCACCGCAGCCTCGACCTGCTGGGCTCAGGCGATCCTTCCGCCTCAGTCTTCCAAGTAGCTGGAACTACAGGCATGCGCCACCATGCCCAGCTAATTTTTTAATTGACTGTAGAGATGAGGTCTCGCCACGTTGCCCAGGCTGGTCTCAGTGGGCTGTGGGCTCAGGCAATCCTCTTACCTCGGCCTCCCAAAGTACTGAGATTATAGACATGCACCACCATGCCCAGCCATATTCATCTTATTAATAGTTTTTTCCTTAAAGTGTGTATACACTTTTTTGACACCCTCTGTGTATGTATACGTGTGTGTGTGTATAAATATATATGTTTGTATAGGTCAATAGAACAGTCTGTGGTCAGCACCATGATGTTCAGGGAGCCAGGAGGTAGCCTGGCTATAGTTATAGGCATTAACGACCTGGTTTGAATTCCGACCCTGCTGCTTGCCAGTCATGTGACTTTAGGCCAGTGACTCCACTTCTCCAGGCCTCTCTTGCCATCTGTCAAATGGGGGGCACCAAGCACCTCCCTTACAGGACTAGAGCGTCAGTCTGATGGGTTAACACAGCAGAGGGGTTTGACGCACATCACATGAGGATGAGACAGGGAAGGACGCCTAGACTGGGGCTGAGAGCACTGTCCCTGAGGAAGTGGCATCTGAGCCAAGTTAAGGAGTGATCTCTAGCAGAGGCTGGTGGTGGGGTATGACGTCTGGGGACCGGAAGGGCCTGGCTGGCAGGCCGCAAGTGTGAGGAAGAACAGCCTGGGCTAAAGCGAGGTAAGCTGAGGCTGGTCCCCGTGCTGTGAGCAACCTGGAGGGACGGGGGCAGCAGAAAATCCAGGCAGGAGGCTCCTGCAGGTGTCTAGTGAGGTGACAGCAGTTTAGAAGAGATGGTCCCCAGTGATAAACGGATGGATGTGACATTCAGGTGAGATGGACAGGACGTGGGGTCTGACCTTTTTGTTTCTCCCTGGAGAGAGGTATCAGTTGGTACTCAGAGTGGAGAGGATGGGCTTGGGGGTGAGGAGTTGGGATGATGCCCACCCAGGCTTGAGCCGGGACAGATGGGAGGACGGTCCTGAAGAAGGATCTCTGAACTAAAGGCCCTCAGAGATCTAGCCCAAATCTACAGGCTGGCACCCAGGGGGAAGCTGGGGTAGTCTTCAAAGGGTGAGTAAGGCTGTGGCCTGGGGCCTCAGCTCCAGCTAGTGGCTAGAGTCCCATGGTCTGAGGAGCAGGGCCTGGCCACAGAGGCCAGCCCGTACCCCACCAGCAGGCACCACGTATGCCCGGCCATCGGTGGCCCGCAAGGGTGAGAAGTCCGTCAGCTGCAGGTTGCTATCCCGCACTTGGTTGTAGTCCCACAGCTTGTAGTGCCAACTCTTGCCCTGCTTGGAGAGAAGGTAGACAGCTCCTAGGGAGCCTTCCTCTGGCAGGGGTGGCGACTGGCAGGGCTTGCTGAGCACTGGATGGAACAGGCCTGGCAGCTCAGGGTCCTCGGCATAGCCAAGGCTCGGCACAGCCGGGACACCCAGCAGGACCCCTGACAGAGAGGAGAAGTGATGAACAGCAGTGACTGAGCCAAGGCTAGGTGTGGGGCTCACTGAGTTCTACCCCCTTCCCACCCTCCAGGGTGGGTGCTGCCTCCATTCCCAGGTTACAGAGAACTTGGTGGTGATGACTCATGGGCACACAGCTGGGCTGGGATTTGGACCCATGGCATCTGGCTTTAAAGTTGCCAAGTGCTGTGCTAAGTACTCTGTGGGCACAGGGATGGCCCAGCTCTGGTCCCTAGATTGAAAGCGCATAGCCTGGCTGAGACCAGGGTGAAAGGCACAGGGACAAGATGGGGACCCACCTGCACTCACTGCCCAGTGGGCCTTGTGGCCCTTCCTCTGACACGGCTCGTGGTTGAAGTCCTCATCGTAGCTGATGCTGGTGTTAAGGCCAAAAGCATGGCATGGCCCTGGGACCCACCCTTTGCCGTCCCTGCGCTGCTCCCTCCCAGGCCCTGGGATACGGGATGAGCAGGGGATGTCCAGTGACAAGGTGCTGTAGGACAAGGTCTCTGTTGGGACCACCCAGGCCACCACAGAGCAGCGTGGCCTGGCAGCCCAGTACCTCCTGGGCCAGCCTGCCCATGTCAGCCACTGCAGAGAGAATACACAGAGGGCTCACTATGTGCCCGGCCCAGGCCCAGGGCTTGCCACCAACTCTTGGCACATTCATCCCTTGGTACAAATGCAGAAAATGAGGCACAAAGAGGGTTAGTGGCTTGTCCATAACACAGTGGAGAAGTGGCAGAGCTAGGTTTGAAGCCAGGCAACTGGCTCGAATCCACCTCATACCCACTCTGCTGTGCTGGACACGAAGGCCTGAAGAATGGAAGCAGACCACCTGACACGCCTGCCAGAGCCCCACCCAGCTTCTCCAGCCCCTCCTGGTGAACAGTCCACGGGGCAGTAGCCTGAAACCCTCCCCTACCCCCAACTCACCAGAAAACATCTCTCCCTGAGCGGTGTAGCCTCTCTCCATGGCCACCTGAACAAGCCTCTCCAGGGGGATGCCGCTGGGGGGTAACAGCAGGGTGCCTGCCATCCACAAGGCCACCAGCCCGCACCTGGGAACATACAGGCCCAGGCCCTCAACTCTGAAGTCAGGGGTTCCCTACCTTGGAAGCTGGAGTTGGGAAACAGGTTTGCTACCCTGAAGAAGTTCCTCTGTCCCAGGTCAGGTGGGGAGACCTGAGTCCTTCGTGGGAGAGGACAGCTGCGGTCTGAGCCCAGGGCTGGAGAGCTGGGTGGAAGGGCAGGGAGGAATCACCCGGACTTCCTGGGAGGAGGTGCCAAAGTGGAGTCAGAGAGATGGACTGGGTTCACTCATTCAGTTACTGGAGCTGACTCACCTGCTCACCATCCCAACTGTGTTTGCTACACATGCATCCAAGTGCCCAGGACTCTGCAGCAGAAAGCCCTTCCCCCCAACCTCCTGGGTCCATCTTGTTCCGCAAGGGCGGCCAAGGGGTTGGGGGTCCCGCAGTAGGGCACATACTGCGGGCCTTCTTGGATGAGAGATGGCAGGTCGGCACAGAAGAGGATCCACTGCAAGTCACTTCGGAACCTGAAGCAGAACCACGCTTGGGTCACCAGGGAACCAGCTCCAAGAGTCCCCCCCTGAGGTCTGGCTGGGAGCAGGATGTCCAGGGATGGTGCAGGGAACACAGGCTTGGCTGTCCCAAGGCCAAACGCTACTCCTGGCTCAGTCACCAACTGCCCCCTCCTAGCCTCAGCTTCCTCATCTGGTAAGTGGGTACCATCCTGCCTGCTCTGCTCTTAGTCCTTGAAGGGTGAGGAGCAGATGGATGTGCCAACTTTTAAACTAGAAGCCAGAAAAATTTATCTGAGGAATTTCTCAAAGGGGTATCTGTGCGTGTGGTTTTTTTCCCCCTTCAAGTTTGTTTCTCAGGGTCTGTTAAACAGGATGAAAATCCCTCAATTCAGCCTGCAGTAAAACCTGGTAACAATAGGCTTCAGGCCTGGACAATGAACCTTGGACAGTTTGATGACTCCAACTCCCCTGGCTCAGGAGGGATCAGGACAATGTACTTATTATTCCCATTCCAAGGGCAGTGAGAGGGTGAGGCTTGGGGTGAGTACCCAGAGCTCCTGGTTCCCAGCTGGGGCACCCTACTAACAAAAGACAATGACACGGAACTATTGTTAAAAGCAGGAAATCTGGTGGGGCTTAGTGGCTCAGCCTGTAATCCCAGCACTTTGGGAGGCCGAGGTAAGTAGATTGCCTGAGCCTGCGGGTTCGAGACCCGCCTGGGCAACTTGGTGAGACCTCGTCTCTACAATCAAAAATAAAAAAATTAGTCAGGCGTGGTAGCGTGCACCTGTACTTTTGGCTACTTGGAAGGCTGAGGTGGAAGGACTGCTGGAGCCCCGCAGGTTGATGCTGCAGTGACTGTGAGTGTGCCACTGCACTCCAGCCTGGGCGACAGAGTGAGACTCCTACTCAAAAAAAACAAAAACAAAAAAAACAGGGAACCCACTGCCAGAGTTCACAATGGCCTCATCCTCTTCAGCACCGTGGCCAACTTTGTCTCTATGGGTCTCAGTTTTCTCATAGGGAAAATGAGGCAATAACATTATAGTATCTGCCTCAGGGGATTTCTGAGAGGATTAAATAACTAATACTTAAAAACACTTAGAACAGTGCTTGACAGCTGCCAGGTATATAATCACAGGTGGCCGTTATTTGCATTAAATTTTCCTCACCGGCTGGGCGTGGTGGCTCACACCTGTAATCCCAGCAGTTTGGGAGGTAGAGGCCAGAGGATTGCCTGAGCCCAGGGGTATCAGACCAGCCTGGGCAACTTGGTGAGGTCTCATCTCCACCACGAATTAAGAAAAACTAGCCAAGCGTGGTGGTGCACACCTGTGGTTCCAGCTACCTGGAAGGCTGAGGCAGAAGGATCACCTGTTTCCCGCAGGTCAAGGCTGTGGTGGCCATGAGCATGCTACTGCAACAGAGTGAGACTCTGACTCCAAAAATAAAAATTTTTTTTCCTTACCTTGGTTGAGGCATTTAGGACAGACTATAAATTAAATATGTCTGGAGAACTTGGAGTGTCATAGTGCAGCTGGGTAGGTCACTTCTCCCTCTTCCCTTCAGCCAGGTATCATGGCACCTCACCCTGTGGCCTCAGTCCAGGTCTGTCCCCTCATTTCCCCACCAGCCTGGGTTGCCGGGGGGCCCCAGCTTCCTCCAGGCTCCTGACCCCACTTCCCACAAGGAGCCTCCCTCCCCGCACAGAGCCTTTCCATGCCTCCCCAGCGCCCTCAGGAGAGACTGGCTTTCTTTGCAGGGCCCACCACGTCCTGTGTGGGCTGGCTCCTGCCCACCTTTGCAGCACCATCTTCATCACTTCCCCTGTCACGTTAAGGAAATATTTGCAGTTCCTTGAATAGAACGTGTCCTCATTTCACTCCCAAGCCTCTGCACAAGCTGTTTACTTTCATCACATATCCCCTGCGTGACTCGCTCAACAGCACTCAGAGTTCCCCTTCTTCAAGAAGACCCCCAGCCTGGGTCAGACACGCCCTCTGGGCTCTGTCATGACAGCGATGACTATTACTGTCTGGTGGGGTGGAGGGGTCTGTCTGCCCCAGCAGGCCAGGCCCGTGTGAGAGCAGCTATCTTCCTCGCTGGATGCAGGACACCACTGAAGGGGTCTAGGTAGGGGACTGAAGCGGTCGGCCTGCTTGACCCTGGGGACCCAGGAAACCCCAAGAGAGGACTGAAGTGATTGGATAGAGGTGACCCGGTGCGACTCCGGCGGGCGGGGCGGGGCGACCCTACCGGTCCTTGTGCAGCTTCAGGAGCCTCTTCACGTCTTCTCTGCCCCTGGGGACTGGACCAGCCTTCTCCAAGGCCTTCTTCAGGAGCTGGCTCTTCTCCAGGCCAAAGACATGAGGGGGAGCAGCCCCAGTGGCAGGGGGTGGAGGAGGCAGCGGAGGAGGCGGGGGACCAGGGACCTGGGGACTCCAGGGGGGTAGTGGGAAAGCTAAGTCCGGGGGACCTGCGGCCACGGGAGGAGGTGGGATGATGGGAGCTGGGGATGCAGGAGCTCTGGGAGGGATGGGTGGTTTCAGGGCAGGGGAGCGTGAAGTCATTCTGGGGTCTACAGGAGGGGCTGAGGAGTTAAGACTGGGAGAGGATTCTCCAAAAGGGGTTGGTCTCAGGGAAGGACACTTTAAAGGTTTTCGAAGTGAGATCCAGAATCGGGGATAAAATGTGAAACCAAGGGTGGAGGCATCGGGACTGATTCAACCCGGGAGGGATCTGAGGCGTAAGAGAGTGCAGTGTTGAAATCCAGAACCAGAATAGGGATGGGGCTGCGGCGGTGGCACTGGGAGGCGTAGGCAGGGACACGTAATAGGAAGTAACTTATCCTCCAGAGCTAGTTTTGGAAACTCGTGGGTCAGTTTTGGGAAATGAAGGTTCAGACCTAGAGGGAGGTGCCTAAAAGGGTGAGACTTTAGGGCCCCGGGGCTAAAGAGTTGGTGAACTTTGGCTCTGTCCCCTCTCACATCCCGTAACCTTTGAGCTGACCTTCGAGTCAAGGGTCAAGAGGTCAAAAAGGAAGCCGGGTAGGGAAAACGGCCCAGTGTGGAGAAGGTCTGGAGCCAGAGAGCAACAGGAAAAGTCCTTGGATTGCAGAGGACTCTGGGACCGGACGTCGGAGGGAGCCGCGGTAGCCGCTGGAATCGAGAAAGGAGTCAGGAAGCCAAACGCGCCTCCCTCTCCCGCAAAATGGCGGCCCCAGGCCCCGTCCGTTCCTCTATCACGTGGTAGCACTCGCAACACCTGCCCGCCCCTTTGTCAATCTCGTGACGGAAAACGCGAGTCGGCGCGGGAAGAGGTGGGGCTTCCAAAGGACTGCCTCCGGAAGAGGCTGCAGCGCGAGCCGTGTCCCGATTGGCAAGAAATTCGCGACCGTCACTGATTGGTCTGTAGGACCGGGAGCGACAAAAGGAGCGGAGGGTGGGGCGGGACTTTTCTGTCTAGGCGGGAACCTAAGTGTCTTTTTGATTGGCAAGCTCTGAGACCAGGGAAGAGTCTTACTCTGATTGGCCAAGCTACTGAGCTTCTGCGCAGGGATTGGCTCGCAGAAAGGCAAGGGCGGGCCAGGAGAGAAACCCTTGTGGTCTGCTCTCAGGAACGTAGCCGGCGTCACTTCGGAGAACAGTGGCCCCGTCAGAAAGTAAGTTCTGGTGGGGGCGACCATCGGAGACGAGTGGGCGGTGCACTTCGCGCACGGGCCTTCCCGCGCCCGTCTCGGAAAACTTGCTGCGCAGGGCCAGGGCTCCCAGAACGGGTCCCTCTTTCCTTAACGGACTCTCACATCCGGGTTTTTTTCCTCCCTGGCCGCCTCTTGGGCGCGTGGGCCAATGGGAAACCGCCATTTAGTACGTCCCGCCTACTGTGTCGCGTAGAGCATCCTGGAACTCGTAGTAAATCTCTCGAGAGTTCCCCCGGCACGCGGGCAAGAGAAGCGGCGTTCCTACGCACGTTTTGTCGCCCAAGCCGTTCCTCCATTCTTCTCACTCCGGTCTTACCGGACTTCCGCTAGGAAGGAAGATCCTCGAGCAGCCGGTTCAGCCAGCGTCGGGACAAAGCGTCTGGAGAAACCCGGGGCTAAAATCGCGTTTTTCCTCCTTGAAGCCCTACCTCGGTTCTTCACTCCATGGCCGTTCCCGAGACGCGCCCCAACCACACTATTTATATCAACAACCTCAATGAGAAGATCAAGAAGGATGGTGAGTTCTCGGGGTGGTCCGGACTCCAGGCTACCTCGCACGAGCTGGCCCTCTCCCACCCCCAGCCAAACCAGTCAGACTGTTGTTGGAGTTCACCCCTTGGCCTTTACCCGGGCTACTTCTCTGTCTTCGCATTCCTTAGCTTACCTTGCACTCTTTTCTTTACTTTTGTTATTGTTGCTTTTTTGAGTCGGCGTCTCACACTGTCGCCCAGGCTGGACTGCAGTGGCACGACCTGCTGGGCTCAAGCGATCCTTCCGACGCCCCCTTCCAAGTAGCTAGAACTACAGGCGTGTGCCACCACGCCCGGCTAGCTTTTCTTGATGTATTGTAGAGATGAGGAGGTCTCGCCAAGTTGCCCAGGTTGGTCTGGAACCCCTGGGCTCAGGCAGTCCTCTCACCTCGGCCTCCCAGAGTGCTGGGATTATGGGCGTGAGCCACTGCGCCCGGCTATTTTCTTTTTGTAGAGACAGTCTCAATGTGTCACCCAGGCTGGAGTGCAGTGGCCCGATCATAGCTCACTGCAGCCTCCAACTTCTGGGCCCAAGCGGTCCTCCCGCCTCAGTCTCCCAAGTAGCTGAGACAGGCGTGCACCACCAGGCCCGTCTAATGTTTTTATTTTTTGTAGAGATTGGAGTCTCACTCTGTTGCCTAGGCTACTCTCGAATGCCTGGGCTCAAGCAGTACTCTTGCCTCGGCCTCCCAAAGTGTCCAGATTACAGGCATGAGCTACCGCACCCCGCCCTTTAACCTGGTCACTGTTGCTTGTCTTTCAAGATTTCACCTCCAAGAACCTGTCCACCAGGAAGCCTTCCCATTCCCTCACCCGTGAGGTGTCTGTCCCCTGCTGCGGACATCGGCCTTCAAGCCCTGATCCCTGGGCTGTCATGGGACTCTGTCACCCCTGTGAGCTCCGAGGGCAAGGTGTGGGGCTTTCTCTCTCTCTCTCTTTTTTTTTTTTTTGAGTTGGAGGTCTCACTCTGTCGCCCAGGCTGGAGGGCAGTGGCACACACACAGCCACCGCAGCCTCGACTTGCTGGGCTCAGGCGATCCTTCCGCCTCAGCCTTCCAAGTAACCGGAACTACAAGCGTGCACTACCATGCCTGGCTAGTTTTTTTGATTTATCGTAGAGATGAGGTCTCGCCAAGTTGCCCAGGCTGGTCTCAAACCTGTGAGCTCAGGCAGTCCTCTCACCTAGGCCTCCCCAAGTGCTGGGATTATAGGTGTGAGCCACTGCACCCAACCAGGTCTGGAGCTTTCTTGGTCACCAGTGTTCTCAGTAATCAGCACAAAATGAAAATGTGCAATAATGATGACTGGCATTCTGTACCATGGGCTGCTCTGTGCACTTTTATATACATGGTGATTGCGTTTAGTTCTCACCCCAGGCCTGTAGGAAGGAGCTGTTGTCAGATGGGAAACTGAGGCTCAGGGGTGATGTGAGTTGCCCAAGGTCGCATAGCAAGGAAAGAAGTTGAGGCCACCAATGTAGCATTCTCAAGATCTCAGTTATTGAAATCGGAAAGACTCTTCCACTTTCTTGTGTAAATTATTTCATTTATTGAACCTTGAATCATAATTACCTTGTTTGCGTGGATGTTGGGATTAATTTGTTTTGTGTTGTTTTAGTTGGGGGTCTCACTGTGTTGCCCAGGCTGGAGTGCAGTGGCATGCTCATGGTCACCACAGCCTCAACCTTACAAGTAGCTAAAGCTACAGGTGTGCGCCACCATGCCCAGCTAATTTTTTTGATTTATTGTAGAGATGGGGTCACACCAAGTTGCCCAGACTGGTCTCGAATCCTTGGGCTCAGGCAGTCCTCTCACCTCGGCCTCCCAAAGTGCTGGGATTGCAGGCATGAGCCTCTGTGCCTGGCCTTGGGATTAAATTAGTAAAACCTCCACGCGTTGCTTCTTTTTATGGTATCTGATAGTAAGGACTGGATAAGTGTTAGCTCTTATCACCTAAAAAAATTGTTAGGAAAACAGAAGGGATTAAATTTGCGGTTGCCAGCCAGGCTCGTTGGCTCAGCCTGTAATCCCACGCCTTTGGGGGGCTGAGGTGAGTGGATTGCCTTAGCCCGTGGGTTTGAGACCCGCCTGGTCAACTTGGCTAGACCTCATCTCTACAATAAATCAAAAATTAGCCGGGCGTGGTGGCGCGCGCCTGTAGTTCCAGCTACATGGAAAGCTGAGGCAGAAGGATTGCTGGAGCCTGGCAGGTCGAGGCTGCGGTGGCTGGGAGCAGCCACTGCACTCAGTCTGAGCGACAGAGTGAGACTCCCAAGTCAAAAAAAAAAAAAAAAGTTTGAGGTTACCATTGAAGTTGCTCTTGAAGAAAACGAAGCCAGGAATGTAAATTTTGTACATGTTTTAAGAGCGTAGTACCCAGCCAGTGCTGGGTGGTTCCAGAGACACACTGGTGACAGAGAGCCCTGTTTCTATAGCACAGTGACAGCCCAGAGTAGTCCAGGCCATGATAGTGGAAGCCTCGGCAGTGGTCAGGGCTGGAATTGGGAGCCTAGAAAGACAGGGATTCACTCAGCTTCATGGAGAAAGAAACATTTTAGAAGGCTTTCAGGTGGAGGGAGTAATATTTATGCTACACTGAGGGAGAGGACTGGTCCTGCCTTGGACCAGTTTGCACAAATGCTTAAGGACAAAAGAACCCTGGAGTATTCTGGGCATTACTGGTAGTTTTGTTTCATATATGTACATTTCATGTGTAATTGTTTCACATATATACATTTATTTATTTATTTGAATTGGAATCTCCTTCACCCAGGCTGGAGTGCAGTGGCAGACTCACAGCCACCCCAGTGTCGACCTGCTGGTCTCCGCGATCCTTCTGCCTCAGGCTTCCAAGTAGCCTGAACTACAGGCATGTGGTACCACGCCCAGCTAATTTTTTTATTTATTGTGGGCACGCGGTCTCTCCAAGTTGCCCTGGCTGATCTTGAACTCCTGGGCAATCCACTCACCTCGGCCTCCAAAGTACTGGGTTTACAGGCTGAGCTACTGAGCCTGGCCCACATATATATATTTATTTACTTTTAGAGACAGGATCTCTCACTCTTTTGCTCAGGCTGGAGGCCTAGAGGCCTGTGAATCACGGAGAAGCTTCCAGTGAGCAGTATGTGGATGGCTTACAGCCAAGAGGCATTGAACTTTGTCCTGAGGGTGTTGGGGAGCAGGCTGCTCCCCGTCCTGCTATGTCCTTGTGGGTTATCTTCCCATCTGTGGAGGGTAAACTGAAGTGGACAAGATGGGCGGCTGGAGAGTGAAGAGAGGCCTAGAGGCTAGTGGAATGACTGAGGTCTGAACAAGGCTCATGGGGCTGGAGCATGGAGAGGAAAATTAAAAAATGTCATCACCAGGAGAATTTTTGGCTAATTGCCTTAAGATACCCTTGACCCCGTGCCTGCTCTCTCTCCCCCACCCTCACCATCACACACATTTTCTTCTTTTCTCTCCTAGTATCTTTCACCAAGAGAGCTTCTCTTTGCATGAGACATTAGTACCATTTCAGGCCTGGGTGGTGAGAGGGTCCTTTGTTAAATGTAATCCCACTTGCATCTTAGTAAATTAAATTGGGTGTCATAGTTGCCACCTTATGGGGTTGTGGTGAACATTTAATGAAGTTATCTACATAAAGCACTTGATGGTGTCTTTAGTCATAGATGTTTGTGGAGAGGCCAGGAGTTTGAAATTAGCCTGGCAACAGAGCAAGAGTCTGTCTCTACAAAACATTTTTCTTAAAGCATTAACTGGGTGTGTTGGGTGACACATGCATGTGGTTCTAGCTACTCAGGAGGCTGAGGCAGGAGAGTCACTTGAACCCAGGAGATGGAGGCTGCAGTGAGCTATGATTGTGACACTACACTTAGCCTGAGAGACAGAGTGAGACCCTAGCTCTTAAATAAATAATAATACAATAAATGTTTATGGGGATGTTTGCGCTAGGCATGGAGATATGCAGCAAATAACATTGGTCAAGCTTATGGCTCTTCTGGGGAGAGAGCAAGTAAACATGCATGTCAAGATTTGGAAAGTGTCATAAAGGAAAAGCAAGTAAGGTAAGGAGAGGGCGGAGAGTGACATAGAGGGACATTTAGACGTGGTCAGAGAAGGCCTCTCTGACCTGGCATTTCTGGTGAGTCCTGGGTGACCAGAAGGAGGCCACCATGTAAACATCAGAGGTAGGATGTACAGGGTAGGAGGCAGCCAGTGCAAAGGCCCTGGGACAGAATTGGTATGTCAGATCTGAGAAAAAGCTCAGATGCTGGTGTGGTTAGGGACTTAGGAGAACGGTAGAGTGTGAGCAGAGATGAGGCTAGGGAAATCTGCCAGGGCCACATGCAGTCCAGTGCCAAAGTTCTGGGGGCAGTGAAAGGAAACACACACACATATATATGACTTATTTATTTTTAGAGACAGGTCTCTCTATTGCCCAGGCTGGAGTGCAGTGATGCGATCATAGGTCACTAGCTTTGAACTCCTGGGCTCAAGTGATCCTCCAACCTTGGCCTTCTGAGTAACTGTGACTGCAAGTGCACATCACCACATTCAGCCAATTTTTAAATTTTTTGTGGAGAAGGGCCCTAGCTATGTTGGTCAGACTGATCTTGAACTCCTGGTCTCAAGTGATCCTGCCTCCCAAAGCGCTGGGATTGCAGACATGAGACACCATGCTTGACTGAAGTACTCGTGATTATTGAGCATTTACTATGTGCCAGGGGCCATCTGAACCCTTTGCATGTTTGTTTTTCATGTTTATCATGTAGCAGCTCTCCGGGGTAGGTACTGTTACTGTCGTATCTTACAGAAGAGTGTGTTCGGCCATTTGAATGATTTTTGGTGGTTACTATCAGATCTTGAGAGATTACTGACACGTGGCATTCTGGGTACTCTGAATTCTCTGATGATTTTCTCTCTGGGCTATATTTCCTCTAAAAAGGGGAGCTTATACCCCAGGGCATGGTGCCAAGGCATTTGTCACCTGAGTCTTTGTCCCCCACTGCAGAGCTAAAGAAGTCCCTGTACGCCATCTTCTCCCAATTTGGCCAGATCCTGGATATCCTGGTGTCACGGAGCCTGAAGATGAGAGGCCAGGCGTTTGTCATCTTTAAGGAAGTCAGCAGTGCCACCAATGCTCTGCGCTCCATGCAGGGTTTCCCTTTCTACGATAAGCCCATGGTGAGCATCGTGGGTGAGGAGGTTGTACGTGTGTGTGTGTGTGTAATGCTATGGTAGATTTGTTGAGCCTGGATTAGAGGAGGGTACAGTCACCAGGGTGAGGCTGAATCAGGCTCCCAGGTGAGAGAATTTGGGCTAGGACCAGGGCAGGGGCCATGGGATGAGAGGGAAGGATGGGTTGCCAGATGTTCAGGTCAAGGGGACTGCAGTCTGTGGGAGATGGTGAATGGGTTAAAGTGCTTGTCCTGGTATAGAATCCCTGGCGTGTCACTGGTGGGCATCTTTGGTTCTTTACTGGGACCTTTCCCCTCACTCCTCCGATCAGGTTTTGAGTTTCACCTGATTAGAACATGCTTCCCTGCTCCAACTTCTTTGACAACACGTCTGACAACACGTCTCAGTGTGTGCAGGTCCCAGGTAGGTCACCTCCATGTGGAGGCTCCAGGGCAGCTGTGTTGCCTGTCACCTCCATCTGGAGAGGACAGAGCATTCACTCCTGCCTGTTGTCACCTCTGGGTATGATAACCCTAAGTGGCCACATCTGTAATAGTTGCCTTTCTTAAGCATCTAGGAATTGGCTTTTGATGTATGAAAACCATAAATCTAGCCGGGCTCGGTGCCTCAGCCTGTAATCCTGCGCTTTGGGAGGCTGAGGTGAGTGGATTGCCTGAGCCCACAGGTTCAAGACCTGCCTGGGCAACTTGGTGAGACCTCATCTCTACAATAAATCAAAACTTAGCCAGGTGTGGTAGCGCGCACCTGTCCAGCTACTTGGAAGGCTGAGGCGGAAGGATCGCCAGAGCCCAGCAGGTCGAGGCTGCAGTGGCCGAGAGCGGCCACTGCACTCCAGTCTGGGCGACAGAGTGAGACTCCAACTCAGAAAAAAAAGAAAACCATAAATCTTCCTTTTTGTGTTACCCCATTCCTTGCTTTTCCCCCCAAATCGCTGTTTGGGCCACATTAAGCATTCAGATATGAAATGAATGCATATGGTCAGGAAGTAGCAACACTAGCTTTAAAACATATTTACTGGTGCCTACTTCACTACTCCCCTGCTGCTTACCTGGGCCTAGCTACCACGTTCCCTCATCAGGATGATGGCTTAGGCCTGCTCACTGGTCTCCCTGTTCAGACCCTGCTTCTCAAGGCTATTCTCCATACCGTGGTCACAGTGCTCCTTGAGAGTCATGAGTGAGAACACACCACTCCCCTGCTTGCAACACTCCATGGCTCCCAGCTTCCTCAGGACTAGACAAAGTCCTCACCAGAGTCCCTCTTGTTTCTGACTTCACCTCCTCCCTTCCTCTCCACATTAACCTCCTTGCTGTTTCTTGAAAGTGCCATGCAGTATGTGGCTATTCCCTTGGCTAGAAGTCAGTCAGTCTCAGTCCCCATCCCACCCCCCATTTCCCCTCCTCTTCCTTCCTCTTTCTTTCTCAGTATCTCACTGTATTACCCAGGCTGGTCTTGAATTTCTGGGCTCAAGCGATCCTCCAGCCTCATCACCTTGCCTGGCTTGAGCTCATTTAAAAGTCTTATTTTTTGGGAGGCTGAGGTGAGTGGATTGCCTGAGCCCACGGGTTCGAGACTCACCTGGGCGTCTTGGCGAGACCTCATCTCTACAATAAATCAAAAAATTAGCCGGGCATGGTAGCGTGTGTCTGTAGTTCCAGCTACTTGGAAGGCTGAGGCGGAA